AGTCCTGTGGCAGCACTGTCAGTCTGCATCCAGCTCTCTCTCTCTCTCTCTCTGTGTGTGTGTGTGGTGCAACATGCCGCAGACAGGCAAGACAGAGAGAGAGAGAGAAAGTCATCTAATAACAGGGGGAGCAAAGCTATGAATGAAAGAAAAAGAGAATTAAGTGATGAAAATAGGTCTGGAGAAAGCAGGAGAGAAATATTAAGAGAAAATAAATGGAAAAGCAGCGGAATGGGACGAGAAAGAAGTGAGTCTAAACAAAACTCATTTTACTTACATGAAACTTAAATATTCGATCAACAACATCTGTGGAATTCATTTTGATTTAAACAGGAATTCAATTCAAATTGTCCCCCAGTTCATAAAAACAAACCAAAATCAGTTACAGCAATGCATCTGTCTATCCATCCATCCATCCGGTCCTTCAAACTTCAAGGCTTTTTTACACAAATTTTCAAACAAAATAATTTTTTACTAAAAAATAAATACAGTTACATTGATTTCTGAGAGTTTCAGTTAATTTTATTCTACATACTATGATTCTGCAATTCTGGATCTTATTTGCTACCTCAACTCAAATTCAAATTAATTTCAACAAATCCAGAAATTGAATTAGTGGCTATACTTTCGAAAAGTGTGTTTTGATGTTGATTGCACTACACTACACTACACTCAAGAATTTTACCTTAAGATTTAGTCTAAATACTTTTTTCTGCAGTAATCGACATTAGGCCACAAATGCTGTCGTTAGAGCTTAACTTAATTCCTCCTCACCAGCCGGAATGATGGAAAAAGAATCTGCTCTCTGAGAGTTTCATTTAACAGGACTTGAAGGAAACAGCTGGAGAAGTACAAGAGGAAAAGAAAAGGGAGACAGACAGGAAAGGAGAGTGAAAGAGATCTGAAAAGCCTTCACAGGTGAGGTGGGCTGAGGGACGCCCTGTCTGTTTGGTCTCTCTCGCAGAAGAAGAAGGGCATGTTTATGCAGACGGAATCTCTCTCACATGACTCCCTCTGGCTTCAGCACTCAACATCACTCCACGAGCCTCAGAATCAGGTAGTGTGACCGCAGAATTGGCCCAGAGGCCTAGTTTTCATGAGAGAGGGTTACAAAAGTGAAACGCGCCATGGAGAGAAATCAGAGACTCTTGGATTTGGCAGCACGGTCGCTCCGACACATACATTCCAGCCTGAGACGGACATGTGACCCGAATCGGGTTGCTCTTGTCCCAACAACAAACAGTTTCACCATCTATCAAATCAGGTAACTGTGACACAGTTTGATTGTACAGGCTTGCGGTTTGTGGTGGGGAAGCCAAATTCCAGGCTCTAGTACCGCTCCTTCCGCAAGATCACTTTTCAAACCACGATCAAATTATCGTGAAGAACAAAGCGGTGGGCTTGTATCTTTTGTAGTAAAGCTTTGCCTGTGAATGAAGCCAGACAAAGCGTTCAAATGGAGAAAGCATTTCAAAACAGCGCTATCAAAGCGTTGCGGGGGAGAACTCTTGTTAACGTATAAGATTTCTTTCTTCCGACGAAAATAACATTAGCTGTTTATATAAAATATTAAATGCGAGAAATACATTGAAATCCTAGAATTCTTGTGAGAAGAATCACATTTTATAAAACACAAAAAAATAAGACTAAGCTAATTTAATCTAATTTACATTTAAATGAATCCTTTTTGTGGCCAATTATTCACATAATCTAGGAGTCTTACAACTCCACAGGAGGCTGAAATCCTTCATACTCAGTTGGTTCAAAGCCTCTAAATAAATTGGCTGCAAGAAACCAATGGCAGCTTCCATCGCATGTTTCGTATCATAATCCTAGTTTAGTCAACTCAATTGGAGTTGATGTGACAATTGTCCGAACATAAGTTTCTAATCTGTCTCGTGGTTGTTTAATACACATTCTTAACAATGAAATTGGCAGAAATTGGTAATTGGACTCACATTCTCGTATATTCAATCTGCGCCCATTCATTCCTAATCCACCCATGACTATTCTACACCGCGATCCATTTCATGACCACACGGGGAGTTCAAAATATACTCCAGGCGACATGCGGGGGGACGAGACGGCGTGAGACCAATGCATTGGGCATGATCACCTGCAAGCAAACGTCTGACTAATTCCTGCCACCTGGACCATCGGGGTCAGACTTGTGTCAGACCGCTCTGATGTCAAAAAGAGGGTCTCGTTTCACAGTCATCCCACCACTTGGAAACATTCCAGCGCTTATAGCTTCTACACAATAAACTGCATAGAGTTCTGCATATCAGAATTGCTGGGCATGTATTAAGAAGCTAAATAGACCAGAAGACCAAGCAGAAATCGCAGTGAAGGACACTGACTCTCGGCCCATTCAGACGACTGATTAGCATAGCACTCCTGCCGGATCAATAACCTCATTGACTCGGTCTGTCTCCTCTATCAGGAATGATGGCAGACTCTCTTTTGTAACTCTATTCTCGGGGCAACTGTCCATTCTCTACAAACTCTGGCTCTATTTTTCAAACTGGCCTCGATTTGTTTCCTTCTGTCTCGCTGTCTTTTAGGATGAGAGTAAATAAAGCTGTCTAGATGCCACTGAGAGAGATTAGCATGTAGCTTTTCGCTTTATCTGGACCTGAATGCCTGGAAGTGAGGGAATGAAGGTGCCACCGTTATTGCCAGAGTTTACTTTGCAAACCTCTTATTATCATGTTTAAGAAAAAAGATGTGTGAATGGGCAAGACAAGGAGCTACTCAAGCTCCAATTTGCTCACAGCATGGCTTTATGAGCCCTTTCCAAAACCAAGCTTAATGGGAATATGGAAACTTGGGCAGAATCCAAAAAAATCCTTCTTTCTAATACGGAGACAAAACAATGAAGCGAAGAGAGTTTTTAGAAGAAGAGAAAGACCAGATCCATGAAGTGAACCTCTGATGGCCTCAACTTTTTTTTCCCCCATCCATCATAAAAAGTCTTAAATTTAAAATATTCGATCGAAATGGGGGGATTGACCAGTGACCTGATCCCAGGAGCTGCTTGGGTTCTGGGGGTTAATGGGGGATAAAGATTAGGAGGAACCGGGCTTCGCTTCATCTCCGTCCCCAACCACCTTCCCTTTCCAATCCCAAATCAGCCACACAATGAGACCTTCCAAAGGAGACGGAGCCCGGTTTGCTTTGATATCCTTCCGAGCTCTCGGCTCCGAGTGTCCAGAGCAAAGCCCCATGGAGGTTACTCTCGACTCCGGGGAGTGGAAAAGCTCTCTCTGAGCCATTTTAGATGGAAATGAAAGGCGCTCTACTAGAACAAGAAATCAATTTTCAAAGTGAAGAGCACGCTAGGCTGTCCAACCGAAGAGTGAGCAACGCCATTCCTCGTCTTTAAACTCTGGTGAGATATGCTTAATTGCTGTAGATTTTATGTGTGTGCATTGGCGGTGTGAAGTTGGGCGGCAATTATACTTTTTTACGCACTGATCAGAGGACTTCTGTTCCAGAACAGATATGCTTTAAGAGTTCATCTTTGAAGATTTAAGTGGATACTCGTCAAATTAAAAACTAATATTCAAATCTCTTTAAGGTGGGGAGAGAGGAGCCGGGCTTTGCTTAGCCTTGTGAGGCAGTGACTTTTGGGGATTTCAGCCCCTGCCTGAAGCCAAGCCACCCAACCTCTTCAGAAAATGCAAACTTTAATCAGTCCTGCACCTCAAAGGCAGAGTAATGGCTTGGAATAGCCTTACTGATGGACGCTTCTCTTCAGAGCCGAGTTGAGCGCTGGACTCCACTGAGTTTAGCAAATCGGCAGCAAAGTGTGGGCTGTTATTGCTAGCGCAATGTGAAATTTTCTTAGCTCAGAAGAAGAAAAAAAAAAAGAGATATTAATGCAAGTGCATTGACTTGTTCATCTCAAATCACCAGTAGATTAGGTGCTTACCAATATAATAACAATATTCAATATAATGAAGCAAATAAATATATATGCATTTTGGGTTAAAATATTCAGTCATCATTTACTCACTCTTAAGTTGTTCCAAACCCGTATTACTTACTTTCTTCCTTGGAACTCAAATGGAGAAATGTTCCAAAATGTACTTAGTACTTACGACTCTTTTCCATACAAATGAATGAGGATACAGGTTGCACCATTAAAGTTTCAGGGGACCCTTCAAAAAATTTTTTCATTCTACATATTTAAACAAACTTCCTTTGTGATTAAACTTCACATGTTGCATCTAAAGGCACCATATTTTAATATATTTTTTCCCCTCCATTCATTATATGTAGAAGATTGGCCAGTACATTCTTCAACATTTCTCCTACTGTGTTCCACAGTTTTTCATTTTTTATTCAATTTTTTTATCCCTTTAGAACAAAAATTATAATAGTAACTGAGTACTTACAGAAGCTAATATCGGGACCCTTAAAAAGTCAACGAGTCTCTTACTCAAACTATCAAACATGACGTGAATTTGCCCTCTGCATGATCTGCCTTGAATAGATGCAGGTTTCTCTCATTTACCCTTCGCAACTGTAGCCGCCCGTCTAGCAATGTCTACATCGCTAATGACGGTGACCACAACCTCCACATAATCAGCGGTCACATTCTAAAAGACGATGGGATTCCTTATGTGTATTTTTCACTTACTTGGTGACAAAACCATCATCACGGCTTCAATGAAGGGCCGGAGGGAGACGGACAACATGCTTCAAACCTTTACCTGCTGGGTTATGCACCACAATAGATTTATCTTGACTTCAACTGCCTTTAACGTGAAACCTCACAACTGCCGAGGCCGTCAGAAACTAAGTGGACTCTCTCGACTATCATGATGCATCAAGAATCTTTAAGAGGTCCCCGGACTCCTCGTTATTAACGCTCCTCTCAGGATGTGGTTGATGGAATATATAATGGAAGTGATTTTTGAGAGGACATATCAATTATGGCCGAGACAGACAGACCGAACATGCAAATTAGCACTTTAAAGATTGCTTTTACTCACCGCTTTCGCCTTGGTTTCAGAGTACTCCTGCTGCGCTATGAGCAACGGCCATACCAGGTCTCATCCTGACCGACACAGAATGGGAAACATGTGTAAACATACATATCTTTTCTTGAGGCACGCATTTTTTTTTGCATATTACCTTTTTAAATGCTATAAATGTGGCAAAATAGCAAAATATGTTGTCAGTGATATTTAAGGAGACTGCAATGACAGACTAGGTTTACTGTTTGTGTCACACGAGCGTTTTTCATCTCCACGGCAAAATAATTACAACAAAGTCTGTCACACTCCATCAATACGACAGGTCAATCAAATAACTGGATGTGGGCTCGTTCCACGTCAACGTGCCGCAGTTGCGTACGATCACGCTCTAGTTTTTTATCTCGTTTTCAAAGCGTGCATCTGCCAAAAAGATGAAAGTGTTGACAGAAGTACAAGAGAAGCTGTGTTTTTCGATCTTACCCTGAGGGGAAACTTTCAGTTGATGTCCGTTTGTTTGGGAGAGCCGAGCCCAAGTATAAAAGAACCTGTCAAAAAACAAACAAAAAAAAGATATTATACCTTATTCAGAAAGCAAAATTTTCAATTGTACATTTTTAAACGCACTTCGATACCTTCGTCTGAATTTCAGACTGACACACATCCCACCCAGAATAATAATATGCGTCAGAAATGCCCTCGAAACAGCTTGCCATGCCTGGCCGGTTAAAACTAACCGAGCATAAATCAAACTTTCCATCGAGGCTTCTGCCGGTTTTTTTGCTGACACTCACAGATATGTTCAACTAAATGAGCGTGTGCAGCTCAGTTCACCTCATTTTTGAAAAAAAACCCTGCAAGTTGTAACATATTTCATCATTTTTTGAAGAGTACAGTTCACTTGTGAAGCTACAGTATGGGACACACACACACACACACACACACACACACACACAAACCAGCCGAATGACTTCGGATTCTCTCTGTCCCAGAATTCCAACCCCTGCAAGTTGTAACATATTTCATCATTTTTTGAAGAGTACAGTTCACTTGTGAAGCTACAGTATGGGACACACACACACACACACACACACACACACACACACACAAACCAGCCGAATGACTTCGGATTCTCTCTGTCCCAGAATTCCAAAGACCCCTGTAGGCAACTAACAACTTCAGGATCCCGTGGAATGTGCTCCCTGAACTGTACAAAAAGAGGAGGGGGTTTGCTTAGGAGAGCGTTTCTGCAAACACAAACCCGCCACTACTTTATCCGCCTGTGTTTGAGGAGGTGTTACAAACTGAGACTGAGTGTTTGGAGGAAATAGCACAAACTGTCTATTAGCCCGAGTATTAAGATACACATCTTCCGCACTCAATTACACGTGCACGTATATGGTGTTTGTAATTCTGGAAGTACGCTCGGTTTAGTAGCACAAATAGTGTATTTAAGCTCACTTGCTCAGTCAACATTTGAATGAGAGATTTATTATCAAAATGAGATTTAAGACCGATCTGTATGTGCTTTTTGCGCGTGCACGTGTACACAAACTCTGGAAATGAAATGCGATATAAAAAGCTTGTTAATGTCCCGTTCATTCCCAACTCATTTCCAGTTTGTGTTAATACCGCGATGTCTTTGGACTGTGAAAACTCAACTGTTAAAATTGACTTTTCTGATGTTATTAGTCTGCATGACCTCGTGGTGACGGGTTTACACAATACCGGACCAGTTTCAATTCAAGATCTTTAAATACTATCAAATTATATACACACATATTGCATTAGCAGAGGTTGTCCTAATGCCACTGTCTGATATTTATATGAAGCCCGGCATTAAAAGTCACGATAAACTATTTCAAATCAAGAGCAGGAATACCTCTCCGGCCCCTCTGCGAGGTGTGCGGATGAAAGAAGACATTATGCGAACAAGTCAGATTACAGTACACAATAATTTTTTACCTTTTCAAGTAAATACCATTCCCGTGTTAGGAGGTGGAAGCCACCGTAATATATTTTGACTGAGGGCCGAACAGCCCTTATCAGTGCTAGTCAAGCAATTCAGGCCCCCCGAACAAAGATGAGTCTTCAAACTCCCTCCATTCATCAGTGGACGTGTAATTACCCCCGGTTCACAGTCTAGACGTTACCGCTTTCAGGGTATTTAAGATCCCCTTTGCAACATGCAGCATGCTCGCGCTCGGCACAACGTTAAATCTGCGGCAGATAAATTAACGAAGAATACAACTTAAAAAAAAAAAGAAGCGCGACCACAATGAAAAGAACTTTATCCTCCCTGCTGCTAAATGAGATTTCTTTGAAATGCAGATCAGTGGCGCTAGATTAGTGAATTTTAGCTGCTGTCAACATCATAACAAAATACAAATGCGATTGTTCGTCTGGGCCTTATCTCCTTGCTTCCATCTGCTTCTTCCCGTATTTACTCGGGTCGATTTACTATGCAGATCTAAATAAGACGCGCTCGCGGGCACAATGGCTTCTTAAGCTTCTACATCAAGGTATTTGAGAGCGCCGTCACATGAAAAGCTGCCCCATCAAAGGCACATCCCTAATGAACTTCCCTATCACAGAGGGATGGCGCGGCGCTCCGGAGAGGCTCGCGGAGAGGCGCTAAATCACAGGAAGGCTACCTCAGCAGCCTGGGGAGATTAGCACACGACGGGGACCCTCAAACAGGAGGCCGTCCGAGCCAAACCTGGGGTAGCTTGCGGATCAACAGCCAAATTAAAACACCCAGGTAGTGGAATAACAGCGTGTACCTCAAGGTAAGATGGACGCTTGTAACAGTGGAGCACACAAAGCTGCGTCTGCCACAACGATGACAGTAATCTTCAAAGCCGAGGAATAACCTCTAATTTCACGCCATATTTGTTGCATCCTGCGTACACAGATGGGATTACAACTCAAATCCCAATTTACCCCAGAAATGGGTGGAAAAGTGCGGTGAACGAGAGAGAGGGAATGTACATGAGGGTTCGAAGATGCATTTTGGGTTAAAATCGTCATGCACCAGCAGTTTACAGAGGGGGGCCGGGGCAATTAGCCCCAGAGGCAGCGCACAAACGGGACCGGCACATGTGGCTCGGAGTAGGGCTCTGACATCACGGCATGATGAGAGGGCAATGGGAATATGGCGGTGGGGGTTGAATGGGAGCGTGTGCCAGCCACGCTTATGCCAGGGTTTCAACTTCCGGAGAATGAAAAAGACCAAGGGGAGGGGGGGGGGGGGGG